CCTTCCACTACAGACTGATACACTCTTGAAGTCACTCTGTTTCGCTCCATTCTCTCTACATGTCCAAAACCACCTCAACAACCCTTCCTCAGCCCTCTGGACAACAGTTTTGGTAATCCCGCACCTCCCTTCCTAACTTCCAAACTACGAATTCTCTGCATTATATTCACACCACACATTGCCCTCAGACATGACATCTCCACTGCCTCCAGCCTTCTCCTCGCTGCAACATTCATCACCCATGCTTCACACTCATATAAGAGCATTGGTAAAACTATACTCTCATACATTCCCCTCTTTGCCTCCAAGGACAAAGTTCTTTGTCTCCACAGACTCCTAAGTGCACCACTCACCCTTTTCCCCTCATCAATTCTATGATTCACGTCATCTTTCATAGACCCATCCGCTGACACGTCCACTCCCAAATATCTTAATACATTCACCTCTTCCATATTCTCTCCCTCCAATCTGATATCCAATCTTTCATCACCTAATGTTTTTGTTATCCTCATTACCTTACTCTTTCCTTTTCCTGTATTCACTTTTAATTTTCTTCTTTTGCACACCCTACCAAATTCATCCACCAATCTCTGCAGCTTCTCTTCAGAATCTCCCAAGAGCACAGTGTCATCAGCAAAGAGCAACTGTGACAACTCCCACTTTATGTGTGATTCTTTATCTTTTAACTCCACGCCTCTTGCCAAGACCCTCGCATTTACTTCTCTTACAACCCCATCTATAAATATATTAAACAACCACGGTGACATTACACATCCTTGTCTAAGGCCTACTTTTACTGGGAAATAATTTCCCCTTTCCTACATACTCTAACTTGAGCCTCACTATCCTCGTAAAAACTCTTCACTGCTTTCAGTAACCTACCTCCTACACCATACACCTGCAACATCTGCCACATTGCCCCCCTATCCACCCTGTCATATGCCTTTTCCAAATCCATAAATGCCACAAAGACCTCTTTAGCCTTATCTAAATACTGTTCACTTATATGTTTCACTGTAAACACCTGGTCCACACATCCCCTACCTTTCCTAAAGCCTCCTTGTTCATCTGCTATCCTATTCTCCGTCTTACTCTTAATTCTTTCAATAATAACTCTACCATACACTTTACCAGGTATACTCAACAGACTTATCCCCCTATAATTTTTGCACTCTCTTTTGTCCCCTTTGCCTTTATACAAAGGAACTATGCATGCTCTCTGCCAATCCCTAGGTACCTTACCCTCTTCCATACATTTATTAAATAATTGCACCAACCACTCCAAAGCTATATCCCCACCTGCTTTTAACATTTCTATCTTTATCCCATCAATCCCGGCTGCCTTACCCCCTTTCATTTTACCTACTGCCTCACGAACTTCCCCCCCACTCACAACTGGCTCTTCCTCACTCCTACAAGATGTTATTCCTCCTTGCCCTATACACAAAATCACAGCTTCCCTATCTTCATCAACATTTAACAATTCCTCAAAATATTCCCTCCATCTTCCCAATACCTCTAACTCTCCATTTAATAACTCTCCTCTCCTATTTTTAACTGACAAATCCATTTGTTCTCTAGGCTTCCTTAACTTGTTAATCTCACTCCAAAACTTTTTCTTATTTTCCTATTATATGGAGGGCAAATAAGAAAGCGTAGGTAACAATACAATTGTTTGAAGATTGGTTTACAAATTATTTTTGCTCTGCAGTTGAATTTTATTACAAAGATAATAACATGGATTTTAAAATTTTGTTACTGGACTATGCATCAGGTAATCCTACTTCTTTTTCTAACTTGAATGAAAATGTCAATGTAATTTTCCTGCCATCAAACACGACATCATTATTGCAGCCAATGGATCAGGATATCATTGCTACATTTAATGCCTATAATTTAATACATACCTTTATGCAAACCATAAAAGTAAAAATAAGAAATAATGCCATAAGTTTAAAAAAATTTTGGAAAGGTTACAATATCCGAAATGCAACTGAAAACCTAAGTGAATAATGGTTTGAAGTAACTGCGAGTAACATGAGAGCTGCTTGGCAACTTGCCTTACTGCACTGTTCCAATGATTTTTGCCAATTTTGAATCTCATAGTTAGAGTGTTTGTGAAAACATTGTGCAGCTTGGGAAAAATTATCTCAGATTAGAAGCTTTGGATTGTGAAAACGTGCGTCAATGCACTAAATTACATTCCGATGATCCTGATGATGCAACACTTGTGGAAATGGATCAGCAGCATTTATACAAAGAAACAGAGCAAAATCAAGTTGAAAATACTGCACCTACGAAAGAAATCACATTGGACGAACTATCAATGTTAAAAGCAAAAGTAGATGATGCTTCTGACTTCATAATGAACGTAGATCCAGGCATTACAATATGATTTCAATGCTATAAAGATATGTATGCTGATAAAAAGAAGAAAAAACTGTGCAAACTACACTGGTGAACTATTTCTCAAAATTAAAATGATCTTTTTCCTTTAACGTATGTATGATATATTGTTTATTTACAACTGTACTACTATTCTTTGTTTTTAGCTTTTGTAATTTCTTTATTTGCAAGTGTGTAATTTCTTTATTTGCATGTTTCATGTGCACTGATCTATACTAAGCAAATATACCTTTACCTCTGATATACCTTTGAAGAGTTTTGAGAATTTAACTACTCTCGGAGCCCGGCCATGGGCCAGGCTCATCTGGTGCTTGCCTGATTAACCAGGCTGTTACTGCTGGAGGCCCACTTCCCCACATATCCATCACAGCCTGGTTGATCTGACACCTGGTGAAGATACTTGTCCAGTTTCCTCTTGAAGGCTTCTACACTTGTTCCAGCCATGTTTCTGATATCTTCTGGTAAGATGTTGAATAGTCTGGGACCCCGGATGTTGATACAGTGTTCTCTTATTGTCCTCACTGCACTCCTGCTCCTCACTGGGTTTAACACTTCCTACCACATTTCTCACTCCAGTATGTTGTTATGGTAGTGTGTAGATTTGGGACCAGGCCCTCGAGTACTTTCCAGGTACATATATATTATCTTGTATCTCTCTCTCTCTCTCTCTCTCCTCTGCTCCAATGAGTAAATGTTCAAGACATGAAGGCATTCCCAGTAATTTAGGTGCTGTACTGGCTCAATATGAGCTGTAAATGATCTCTGAATTTGTTCCAGCTCTGATATTTCTCCTGCTTTGAACAGAGTCATCAGAACCGAGCAATATTCTAAACGAGGGAGCACTAGCAATTTGAAGAGTGTCACCATTGGCATTATTTCCTTTGTTTTGAAAGTTCTCAATACCCACCCCGATGTATTTAATCGTATTGTTGGAATGCATTACGTTAAAACACATTATAACAATACCCTCCTCATTATGGTATTGCATAGCATGATATTTTGACACACATTACCCGTACTATGCATGGAATTGCTGTATTATGTTCATCACATAAAATAGACTATGCCACTGCCACAATACAGTAGGCCCACAATTTTGGTACTCTATCCAGACAATATCTGCAAACACAAGACATTTCAGCAGCTTTAAAGAACCTTAAACATTTATTAAAGCATTCTATATTCTGACTTGGATATATTAAGAGTTCAGTAGTAGCTGCATACTGCATAAACACAGTCAAGTGAGAATGTGGAAACATGAAAAGGCAAAACGTTAAAAAATAGATTAAAGATTAAGACTGAAAAAACTTTCATTGAGGAATAATATAGGCATGGAGAATATCAAGCACACCAAGCAGCATTGGGAAGTGACCACAGCCAAAGAACTATCAATGGGTAAGGGATGATTATTCTCTTGTACGCCTAAGATGGTAGAGCTTTCATGGACGACCTAAGTCATATACTGTGCTACCTAGAATCTTGAATCATCTTGCAAACATACTTTATATTATATATTCCTCAACCATCAATCTACCCATTCTTTTCACACTACCATATCTCCAAAAATTCTCCAAAGTTGCTCACTGTATTATAAATCCAGAATTTGCAGACTATTTTGCTAGGTTATAATACTGAATTACACTGCTTCAGAGTGTATAATTGTTAACTGTCATGCAAGTACAGCAGTAGCCAAATGTTTGTATAATAAAACTAAAAATACAAGAAAATGATGAGGACCAACCAAATAAGCATATACAAAAGGTAAGGAAATCTGAAAAAAAAACAAAAGGAATTAAAGATGTAGAAATGAAAATAACTACATGGAGGATGACAATTAAAGAAAACTTACTACTAGATATAACCAGCAGATATAAACCCAAATAATATTAAAATGGATGGGGAGTCAAACCCAAGTCATTGTGTGGGGAGGCCCTGTGTTGTACCAGTGAGCCACAGAGGTTACAATAGAAAAGTTTTACATCCAGCACTTCTGTGACATGGTTTCACCATCCCACACCACGAGAGGTGTAGAGGAGTTGGACGAGACAGCAGCATCATGGATAGTGGGGGATGGTGCAATTATGTCGCAGATGTGCTGGTTGTAAAATTATTCTATTGTGACCCCCATGGAGGTTATAATAGAACATTCAGATCTAGGACCACAGTTTGAATCCCAATCCATTCTGTTCATTTATTAATAGTCTTTCATTACAACGTATCTTGGAATATAAATCCAAATAAGTGCACACAAAAAAAGAAAGGATTATGAAATGTGATTGCTGTGTTATCTCATACTCCCCTTAATGGGGTGTTACAGAAGCAGACATGCATCAGAGCAAGGGTAACAGCATAAGCAGAATCAATATTATTATGGACACAATCTTGCTCAAAGAGGAACTCGTTTATTTTGTTGAAGCTAATGAATCGTTAAATGCAATTTTCTTTTTTTTTTTTTAATGTATGAAAAGTCACTACTTGCTATTCATGTAAAACTACAGAACAACTATCCTGCCATGACTTATAAGTATGGAAGCCTCTTTTGTCAATATATTAAAAAACTGAATACCTTGAGAAACCCCTAAATATGTCCCTACCTTCTGATTTTTCTTCTTCCATTTGTGCCTCCTCTTTAATTTCTTCACCTTCTCCTCCTCTATCTTCCCCTTCCACTTCCATTAATGCTGTATGGTATAGTAATACAGAGGTGATAAAGTTATGAAGAGAAAGAATGCAATTTAAGCAACTAACAAGTGCAAGAATAAAAAAAAAAAAACACAAATTGGACAAGGGTTTCATAGGGCACAATTATTAAAAATTCTCTAGAGTATTTTTAAGCAGATAATCCATTTTTCTAACAGTGTACCAAATAACACACAACAACTTACCCCCAACCTTCTTTACTGTTTGTTCTGGTGTATTCACTGTTGTTTTGCTTGCCAAAGCAGTTGCTTCCTCACACCCTTTTGCTTTAGCCTCATTTTCTGCCTCTTTATCAAATTTCTTAATTAAGTTGATCCTTTTCTCCTGTAATATTAGAAATAATAAACCAATAATGAAATAAATAAACAAAATTTTTTTTTTTCAACATGCCGGCCATCTCCCACTGAGGCAGGGTGACTCAAAAAAGAAAGAAACTCTTTCACCATCATTCACACATAATCACTGTCTTTGCAGAAGTACTCAGATACGAGAGTTTAGATATCAATCCCAAACAGCCAATATCCCAAACCCCCCACCTTTAAAGTGCAAGGGTTGTAATTTCCCCGCTATGACTCAAAGTCCGGCTAACCAGTTTCTCTGAATCCCTTCACAAAATATTACCCTAGCTCACACTCCAACAGCTCATCAGGTCCCATAAACCATTCATCTCCGTTCACTCCTATCTAACACGCTCATACATACCTGCTGTATGTCCAAGCCCCTTGCACACAAAAACCTCTTTTACCCCCTCCCTATATCCTTTCCTAGGATGACCCCTACCCCTCCTCCCCTTCACTATAGATTTATACACCTTCCAAGTCATCCAATTTTTCTCCATCCTCTCTAAATAAACTAAACCATCTCAATAACCCCTCTTTAGCCCTCTGAATAATACTTTTAGCAACTCCGCATCTCCTCCTAATTTCCACACTACGAATTCTCTGCATAATATTTACACTACACATTGCCCTTAGACAGGACATCTCCACTGCCTCAAGCCTCTTCCTTGCTGCAGCATTTACAACCCATGCTTCACCCTCATATAAGTGTTGGTACCACTATACTCCATAGATACCTCAACAGATGTGGAGGTATCTGTCTCCACAGATACCTCAATACACCACCCACGTTTTCCTTCAGTTCTATTAACCTTGTCCTTCATAAACCCATCTGCTGACAATTCTACTCTCAAATATCTGAACATATTCACTTCTTCCATACTCACTCTCTTCCTCCAATGTGATAAATAATTTTTCTTTACCTAACTTGTTTGATACCCTTATCACTCTTCTCTTATCTATGTTCATTTTCAAGTTTCTCCCTTTACACACACTCCCAAACTTGTCCACTAACCTTTGAAACTTCTCTTTAGAATCTCCCAAAAGAACATTATCATCAGCAAAAAGCAAATGTAAACTCCCTTTTACATTTAGTAATACATACGTATACAGGAGAAGGGGTTACTAGCCCCTTGCTCCTGACATTTTAGTCGCCTCTTTACAACCCTCTTACCTCCCCATGGAGGTAAGAGGAAATAAACAAGAACAAGAACTAGAAAGAAAATAGAAGAAAACCCAGAGGGGTGTGTGTATATATATGCTTGTACATGTATGTGTAGTGTGACCTAAGTGTAAGCAGAAGTAGAAAGACGTACCTGAAATCTTGCATGTGTATGAGACAGAAAAAAAAAAGACACCAGCAATCCTACCATCGTGTAAAACAATTACAGGCTTTCTGGGTATTAATAAAGGGGATATTAATTGGGTATTAATAAAGGGGATATTAATTGGGTATTAATAAAGGGGATATTAATAAGGTCTTGAGGATGTCTCTCCAAGAGAGAACCCGCAGTAATGGATTTAAATTAGACAAGTTAAGATTTAGAAAGGACATAGGAGAGTATTGGTTTGGAAATAGGGTAGTTGATGAGCGGAACAGTCTGCCTAATTGGGTTATTGAGGCTAGGACTTTGGGTAGTTTCAAATTTAGGTTGGATAAATATATGAGTGAGAGAGGTTGGATTTGATTGGGACTTGCAAATGAGTGGATAGAGTTAGAGATTATTTCTTGGGTAGCATTGAAAATTGGGTTGGGCAAATGTTTTGTTAGTGGGATGGATTGTAAAGGACCTGCCTAGTATGGGCCAACAGGCCTGCTGCAGCGTTCCTCCTTTCTTATGTTCTTATGTTTTACACTCACTTGGCAGGACAATAGTACCTTCCTGGGTGGTAGCTGTCTACCAACCTAATACCTAGGATTTTGTATTTGATTCCCCATAATTTAATTCCACTCCTCTCCCTAACACCATAGCATTTACTCCTTTCACAACCCTATCTATAAATATGTTAACCCTTTGACTGTCGCGGCCGTATATATACGTCTTACAAGGTACCGTGTTTAATGTATATATACTCATAAATTCTAGCGGCTTCAAATCAAGCAGGAGAAAGCTGGTAGGCCCACATGTGAGAGAATGGGTCTGTGTGGTCAGTGTGCACCATATAAAAAAAATCCTGGAGCACGCAGTGCATAATGAGAAAAAAAAAAACTCCGACCGTTTATTTTAATTAAAATGCAGACTTTGTGGTCTATTTTCGTATAGTATTTATGGTTGTATTCTCGTTTTCTTGGTCTCATTTGATAGAATGGAAAACATATTATAGAAATAGAGGTGATTTTGATTGATTTTACTATAAAAAGAACCTTGAAAAGGAGCTCAAAGTAGGGGAAATGTTTGATTTTTGCCAATGTTCAAAAGTAAACAAATGATGCCATTGTCCAATAAATGTCCAACTAGCCATTCTAATATGATGCAGTCATGAATGGGTTGATGTTATTTATACAATTATTACAGTATTGCAGTAGTCTGCATAATAGTAAGTCTTCTATTTTTTGTTTGAATAAAAATTCAAAATAGAAAGCAAGAGTAATATCAGAGGGGCCTGGAGACATGACTGATGAGCAAAGAAAATGTTATTTTAGAGGCAGGAATGTCTGCATTGTTCATTCTGGACCTTATTTTGAAATTGTTATATTTTTTAGTTTTCGTGAAATTGGCCAAATTGCAAATTTCTGACCACATTATTAGGTAGTTGAAATTAGTAAATGGGCAGTTTCTTGTACTCAATCGATAGAAAAAATGGAGTTCTAAAGAAATAGCTATGAGTTTGGGCGACTGGAACAATGGAATTAGCTGAAAATAGGGCTCAAAGTGGGCGAAATCGCCGATTTGTAAACAGCGCCGATGTCGCTAACTTCGCGAGAGCATAATTCCATCAGTTTTCCATCAAATTTCGTTTTTTTTGGTATCATTACAATCAGGAAAAGATTCTCTATCATTTCATAAGAAAAAATAATTTTTTTTTTTAAATTTTGCGACACCAAGAGACACCTCAGGATTGGGGGTTGCAACGGTCAAAGGGTTAAACAACCACGGTGACATTACATATCCCTATCTAAGAGATCTACTATTACTGGAAAGTGATCTCCCTCTCTCTTACACACCTTAACCTGAGCTTCATTATCCTCATAAAAACTCTCTACAGCATTTAGTAAATTACTACCTATTCTATACACTTGCAACATCTGCCACATTGCTCCCTTATCCACCCTATCATATGCATTTTCTAAATCCATAAATGCAATGAAAACATCCCTACCTTCTCTAAATATTGTTCCCTTATATATTTCAGTGTAAACACCTGATCTGCACATCCTCTATCCATTCATAACCCTCCTTACTCATCTGCAATCCTGCTCTCTGTCTTACCTCTAATTCTTTCAATAATAACCCTACCATACAGTATACCTGGTATACTCAGTAAATGTATTCCCCTATAAGTTTTACAAACTCTTTTGTCCCCCTTCCCTTCATATAAAGGAATTTATACACTCTCTGCCAATCCCTAGGTACCTTCCTCTCTCTTATACATTTTTTTTTTTTAACACATCGGCTGTTTCCAACCAAGGTAGGGTGGCCAAAAAAATAAAAACTTTCACCATCATTCATTCCATCACTGTCATGCCAGAGGTGTGCTTACACTACAGTTATAAAACTGCCACATTAGCACCCCTCCCTCAAGTGTGCAAACACTGTACTTCCCATCTCCAGGATTCAAGTCCGGCCTGCCGGTTTCCCTGAATCCCTTCATAAATATTACCCTGCTCACACTCCAACAGCACATCAAGTCCTAAAAACCATTTGTCTCTAATCACTATCTAACATGCTCGTGCATGTTTGCTGGAAGTCCAAGCCCCTCGCACACAAAATCTCCGTTACCCCCCATCCCTCAAATCTTTCTTAGGCCTACCTCTAACAGATTTATAGACACCCTCCCAAACTCATCCACTAACCTTTCCAACTTTTCTTTAGAATCCTCCAAAAGCATAGCATCATCAGCAAAAAGTAACTGTGTCAACTCCCATTTTGTATTTGATTCTCCATAATTTAATCCCACCCCTCTCCCCAATACCCTAGCATTTACTACTTTTACAACCCCATCTATAAATATGTTAAACAACCTTGGTGACATCACACATCCTTGTCTAAGGCCTATTTTTACTGCAAACACTTTGTCTACACACCCTCTACCCTTCCTAAAGCCTCCTTGTTTATCTGCTTACCTACTCTCCATCTTACTCTCAATTCTTTCAATAATAACTCTACCATACACTCTACCAGGTATACTCAAGAGACTTTTTTTTTTTTTCCAACATGTCGGTCGTCTCCCACCGTGGCAGGGTGACCCAAAAAGAAAGAAAACCCCCAAAAAGAAAATACTTTCATCATCATTCAACACTTTCAAGTCGCTCGCACATAATCACTGTTTTTGCAGAGGTGCCCAGAATACAACAGTTTAGAAGTATATACGTATAAAAATACACAACATATCCCTCCAAACTGCCAAAATCCCAAACCCCTCCTTTAAAGTGCAGGCATTGTACTTCCCATTTCCAGTACTCAAGTCCAGCTAACCCTATAATTTTTGCATCCTCTTTTGTCCCCTTTGCCTTTATACAAAGGAACTATGCATGCTCTCTGCCAATCCCTAGGTACCTTACACTCTTCTATACATTTATTAAATAGCACCAACCACTCCAAAACTATATCACCACCTGGTTTTTAAAATTTCTATCTTTATCCCATCAATCCCAGCTGCTTTACCCCCCTTTCATTCTACCCACTGCCTCATGAACTTCCACCACACTCACAACTCATTCCTCTTCACTCCTACAAGATGTTATTCCTCCTTGCCCTATACATGAAATCACAGCTTCCCTATCTTCATCAACATTTAACAATTCCTCAAAATATTCCCTCTATC